AGCCGTGCCAGCTCTGCCTCGCCCCGGTGGGAGGTACTCCTTCGCTCGGGATCCCAACCGACCAGGTCAACAGCCGCGGCTACAAAGGTAAAAGAAAGTTCTCTCTTTGATTGTATCGAGTAATTTCCACCTGATGTGTGCCTGAATGTTGTTCAGGTGTTGCATGAAGGCCTGGCATGAAACTGCATCGCAACCGCAACCGCTAAATCTCTCCACAACAATGCCCTCTTTGCTTGCTGTTATTGTCAGAGTGGAATATTATCCACGCGGTGTGGCGTCTTTGCGCTGGTACCAAGTCTTCGGACGGCAAGAAGTTCATGCACGTCACCGTCGCCCCCGCCAGCCTTATCGGGGTAAATCATGTGTACACCCGTTTACGTTGGAACGTGATTGTGTAGTGACCAGTCGTGTGTGTGCGTAGTCACCCAGATATGGGTGCGCGGATGCATCCGACTGTTGCTGTAAATTAGTTACCCATCTGTCACAAAAGTGCACCGTGTTCACCGGTCGACGTCATAAAAAAAATAACATTTTTTAGTATGGGGAGACCATGTGACAAATGTGCCTTATATTTTCCCCTTTCAGTACACCGAGTTCAACCGTCGACGTCATCAACAAAAATATCATTTTTTTATAATGTAAAACCATGCGAATTTTTTTCCTTATATTTTTCCCTGTCACCCATCCGATATCCACTGCAAAGGTGTCCCGACGCAGCGACTAACGAGGAAGACCTGGCCGACGGGTGCACGGGCGAGATCGTCGAGGACGACCTGATCATCAAGGATTGAGACTCCCCGCCGCTGCACTACCAGTGCGCCCGCCGCCTGTGGGACCAGGCCATCAACGAGATCCTCAACAAGACCGACGAGCACCGCGACCTGGGAACTACCCACGCCGACCTCTAAAGTAAGACGCGTGTTTCCATTTCAGCAAAAAGTAAACGTCTCAAGAAATTCAAGGCACATTGTTGCCACCTGCAACTGGCTTTCGCCAACTATCAATAGAGTAAAGATGTCACCCCATGTCTGACAATCATCGATGTCGGCTGACGCCAATTCATTGGGTAACTCGTTCAGCAGCCGTATCTCTAAATCGCCAAACACGATCACATACTGCACGTCACAATCCACACCAAAGTTCCACACCCAGCGAGAGTAACACTCCCTCGAGGAACGTACAAACAACTCCAAATCGACGAACACCTTCAGCTCGTCGAAATACCCAGCGAAGATTGCTCACCCAACCCCGAACGACGCCTGAAACTCGAACACGACAAACCTGTCCGGATAACGCGCAAGCTGAAATCTTAGCGGAACGTAGACGTCGCAATGCAAACAAAAACACACCACACGACTCAGACCCTGAACTCGATATGATACGTCAACATTTTAGCCAAATGAGGAATCGTGCACCAAGGTTACCGGCACCCAGTCTAGACAGCCATCACGGTGATGCTAATAACCAAATCTGCCTTGGAGTGCAAGACATTGACTCGCAATCATTCGACTTCCCCTCGGCACCTTTTGAGCTAAAACACACGGATTTGGATGATCCACAAAATATCACATGTTCTCACTGCAATGCTCAACTTTGGAAAGAAGAAAAGGGATTTAATTGTTGTAACAAAGGCAAGTCGTGTATCCATCCTCTCCAATCTATCCCCCACCATCTTATAGCGCTGTTTGAAACTACTAAATTCGTTAACTTCTGACTAACTTCCACCAATTATTCCATGAAACGGTGTGATATCACGATACAACGGGCTTTTCGGATTTACTGCATTAGGCGCAGGCTGTATTTAAAAAAGGACATGGACTGAACCGCCAGCCCCTTCAATGCTCACCTTGCATGGACGTGCTTACCACGGCATATTCGACCTCCAACAACATTATGAGAACTATTCCGTGTCGAAGAAATCATCGCAGCTAAACGAATTTTAGATGCTCGGATAAACATCCACTTTATTAATGCCTCCACATTACCTCCTCCCCAACAACCTCTTTCTTCTGCTCTAAATTTACATTATACGGTTATGACACGTACACGCTCTTACATCCATCTCCCCAATAATTGCATTCTGCCGCCAGCGCAGGCACCCTACCGCCTGCTCCATCACCGACATCATCACGGCCATTACCGTCACACTTCAATATTATGAAGCTCGAGACCTGCGTACAAGGCTGCGAACGAAACCATACCTTCCGCAGTGGTAATCGGCAATAACCACCAGGGCCGTAAGGGGCAACGATGACCCGAGGCGGGAGGCGTCAACTCTTTCACGGTCAACTAGCGGCAACGCCTGCGTGCGGTGTTTGTTCTTACTTTGTCTGAATGTTGTAGGTGTTCGGCTCCTTTCACATTGTGAGGGATACCGTATATCGGCATCATTAGAGGGGGACATTAGAGAAGGGCGCGAGATTAGACTGGAGAAGTTAGAATATGATCATTCGAGCGGGACGACACTGAAAAAGTTAGAATAATAACTCCAGAACATTAGAGGGGGATATTAGAGAAAGGCGCGACACTGAAGAAGTTTGGATATGAGAGCTAGGCGGCAACACACCAGCACCATCAACTACCGGCAATACCGTCGAACAGTTGCAGTGTTCGTTCTTTCTTTGGCCCCTTTGGGGAGGATATTGGCCACCGCAAAGCCACTTAGAGAACGTTGCCTGAGGGTGTTACTACGTTCTTACCGGCGCAAGAATAGGGAGGCAACCGTAGCTTACATCTCCTTTTCGTCCGCACTGGGCGAAGCTAGACAAAATATCACGGACGTACACGCGACTCTTTTGGCTTCATGTTACACCGGGAACGGCTCATTTCTCGAATACAACGCGAACATCTTCACACCGTTCATTCGGTCACCCTGCGGCTTCATGCCCTTGGTATGCTGTGCACAGCCTTCACACCTTCCCTTTAAGCCTACTACTGAGGACGAGGGCACCTCTGCGCCCGAAGTCCGGAGCCCTTGTATATATAACATGATGACCACCGCCGTTGGCTGCAGTTTGTGGATGTCATTCGCCTAAAGACCCCCTCTGGCGTTCCTTTTTACTGGTAGTGGGTGTCACACGGAGCAAACACGGGGCGGAACAAGAAAAAACTACAAGAAGTTAACATCGATTCACACTTCGGTGAACGTGTGCAGGCCGTGTGAGTCAAAAATTCACGATACGCACTGTTTCTGGGACGCGACAGAGGGTACGTGTATGACCACACGCCTTTGGCTGCAGTTTGTGGTTGTCGTCGGCCTAAAGACTCTCTCTGGTGTGCGTCTTGACTGGTCACACATGCGGCAGGCACAAAAACGCCTCTTTTCGGCCAAAGGCTAGAACACCATTAGCAATGCGGCAGGGTTGACGTAGTCGGCCCGTGTGCGGCCAAGAGGACGCAGAACGCCCTGAATTTTTATTCCAGCAGAGGGTTTGTCCATTACCTGACAATACTGGCCTGTATTTTGGCAGCAGACGTTGCAGTTCCTCTCGATTTTTAGCACGGATGGGGATGTAACCCCCCCCCTTTTTATCCTAGAAAATATCAGCCGATCCAGTCGGAAAATGGGCCTATTTTCTAACTCGCCAGCTGGAATCCTGGTGAACCTCTAGTTTAGACCTCCTGGACGGTTCCACGCTCGGTGCACCGAGGTATTCTGCCAAATATAGGTGCTTGCAATGGAAGCTGTCTTTAAACCCAACAGGCAGGGGTAGAAGACCGGCGGTCCCTGTTTGCTCCACGCACGCTCTACAACTCACTCACACCCATATCCATTCAACACGTGATGGTCTGCCGGCCGGCCAAGCGAACTCACGCCCTGCAATGAATAAAGCCACGATTGCTCATATCATTCCCCCGTCTGTGAGGTCCCAGGGTGGATGGATGGATTGATCGACCTATATGTACAGTTCGCTCTCCGTAGCATGGAGCTGGGCGTGTCACCACATCGTTTGAACCCGTCATTCCGGCCCCGACTCGAAACCCGAGAGGATCCCTCTCCACCTTTCTAGTCCAAACAATGAAGTACAGTAGTACACCATGTGTGACCCCCGCCTCTTCCCCTTGTCGTGACCACGCCGACGAAACTACTCAAGGTGAAATACATCATCACGCCTCCATCATACATGCATGCGCCAGGCACGTGTATTGTTTAGTGGGTAACTCGGTTGATCACCTGGACAACCGTGCACATTGTGAAAAATGTTTGAGGATGCCGTGCGCCAAACCAACCATGTATCCAGTACCTGGCGTGTTCACCCATACTGCATCCCAAACCGCACAACAGCCCTGAAGCATGGTATGTACCGACCACACGTCCAGAAACACCTCTCAATGCGACCGCTGGTGTTGCGCACTCTGCACATTGATCATGTTTTGCTTGGCGTGGTTCGAGCAAACCCCAGCCTTCTTGGTGCCATCTTTTCTATCGTATGGCTGTTTGACGCACCCTGGATGGCCGCACCTTTTCCTACAAACATTGCCCTTCCCCCATTGAGGGCGTGTTGAGAGCAGAACTCCCCCTTCTTACTGCCGCCTCTACCATATGGCGGCTGCTTCATGCACACATGGCCGCATCTCAGACCCCAACAGGGGTCTCGAGGCATGGGTTGGGACCAGATAATACGTACGTGTTAAAACGGCACTCGGCGTACATCAGAGGCGAGCACCAGCGTCTATCGAGCCGGCAGCTCCAGCCTGTTACAACTAGACTTTTGTTTTTTCAACGCTGCAAAATTCAGCGCTTACAGCATGTGTGCCGTGCACTCCAGCCCGTGGTAACACAGCAGGACTCCTCTCCCCGAGGTCCCCTACCCACCCCTCCTGCGGTGCTTTCCCTTCGATTTATAATGGGAGAAGAGTGGAGCGCTCTCTTCCTTCTATGGACACACGAACAAAATAACGCTTTCCATCAGCCCAGGAACCGAAAGGCCAGGAAGCGAGAGAAAAACTCGCTTGCACCGGGATTCGAACCCCTGACCTCACTAAAAGGCTGCGAGAATATCGACCACCAGGGCGACCGGAGTACACAGTACACCGAAAAATAGCACCTATGTATGCTGAGGGTGTAGAGAGGCGAGGTCGACGGGTTGGCAGCGTTTACTCGTTGTCGTCCCAGGAAAAGCTGAGCTCATACGACAGATGTTCCTCCCCGTAGCACGAGGCGCTCGTGTCGAGGCAGTCAAAGCTGTTGATGTTGTAGACCTCTTGGCATGCATAGTCAGACCAAGCCGAAGAAGGAACTACGCAAGTGCAATCGCAGCAATCGCCGCCGTCGAAGCCTGTGAATTTGGGTATTGGGGAGGGGAAGGGAGACGACACTGTGAGGGTTGAATTGTCATTTTTTCAACGAAACCCACATCCATGATATTCCCGGTTTTCCTCGGGCTGTCGGGACCATTTCAATGAATCATAAGTTTGAACAAAGAGATCAGGTGATGAAAGACCAGAGATGCTTCAGTTGTGCATATATATATGGGGCATGGAAATTCACACCATACACAATGAATAAAACCGCGGTGTGTTGATCGAAAGATCGATGATTGAGAGAGAATAACGGACGATAGAGGATCTCGAGTCACGTCCATAATGGTGCAGTATCGCCGGCATCGGACGCTGCAGTATTGTGCGATGGGTATTGCTCTATCATGGTGAGAGGGCGCACGGAAGACAGAGGTTGAGCGTATGAAAATCACCGATAAACGCAAGAGGGCGAATGTCATTTTTACGCCAACAGTCTAGCAATACCTGGGTGGGCGAGTTTCCAACGCGGATGAAAGTCATGTATTCCCACCTATGTAGATCGGCGACAACCGTCAACGATCGGTTCGCCGACTTTTGCAGAACGCGACACCTACCTGTAGATTTTACTTCGCGAAGAACACCGGCAGGTATCGATTCGTCCACAACAATCTGCTGTTGTATTCAATAAACACCCTAAAACCCGTTCAATAAACACGCCGGTTTTTTCGACTCAAGCAAACTGAGTTTCGACAAAAAAAAGGTGCAACGTACGACCATCCGTCACATTGGTAGTGGATTACTGGGAAAAAAGTACTTGCCGCATTCTTCCTTGTTGTTTTCGTCATCACACATGCCATCCCCAATGCGCGTTACCCAGCCGCAGTGCTCGTACTGCTCCGCAGTGTTGTCGTCGTCGTCCACGCACTCCGCTTCAGGGTCGATGCACGCGAAACTTCCGGGTTCGCAGTAGTACTCGTAGCCATCGTCGTGCGACTCACAGGTGCACTCGCAGCAATCGCCACCATCGTACGCTGAGCGGGCAGGAAATAAAGGAAAACGAGAAAAAGGAAGAAAAACATATATACGGGGAGTTCGGTAGTGTTTTCTCAACGGGTGGTTTACTCCCGGCCGACATTGTAAACCCCCTCTCTACAGAATTCTACCAACTCGATGCACGGGAGTCCCGTCTCGGGAGGGTGGGCGTTCTGTCTTCCATGTTTATAGATTTTTCTCAAAACATTGGAAGTACAGACAAGACTTGTGGTGCAGTGTGCAACAACAGTCACCGAAAAGGATGTGGCATTGGCGACTGATCCAGTCGCCTTGGCTGCACATTTTCTCCGCCTCGCTGGCTGCCGCGTCAAAATCAATACAACACCCCGACTGGTGTTGAAAATACGTTGCCCAAGGGTTGACGTACTTTATACATCTCGCGTCGATTGACTGTGCACAAGATACAGCGACCTCCCCACAACACTGGAATTTTCGTCGCACATCTTTGAAGGTGGTATTTCGACTTCCATGGAAGTAGTGAATATTCACGTCCTCCATGCAAGTCGCAATATCACTTTCATGGATGCTTTCATGAAAGTTGAGGTTGCTTCAGATAGAAGTCTGGAAGTGTGGACTTCCAATAAGCGACTTCCTTCTCATGGAGGTAACAACCCTTGATGAGCGCCACACTTTCGTGGAAGTCATTTTCAATATACACCGAAGTTGAGCAACTTTCATGGAGGAAGTTGGACGAACTTCCATGGAACCAAAGGTTTACTTCCATGGAACTACCCACTTTGAAACATCGTATAGCTTCCGTAGGAAAGTGGCGTCCATTCATGGGACGGCGTGGGAGACTCCCCTCGACATGTTCGGGACCCCATCTAGACTACCCACCAACACGAAGAATATGCATATTCTCGAATGTTGGTGATATCGTTGCCGCTTAGCACGTATGTGCGCAAATTCCCAAAATCCTAGGGTACAGGAATACACGCCCAACCAGAAAATCAAAGAAGCATGAATAAGTAGGCGAAACACCGTGCAAAATATAATTGACACGCGGCGCGTTACAGATCATACCGCATTCTGGGCTGTTGTTGCTGTCGTCGCAGTACCCATTCCCGATCTGGCCGGTGGAGCACAGGTCCATCATCTCGGCGGTGACGATGTCGTCGTCCACGCACGGTGCATCCGGGTCAATGCAGGCGAAGCCGCCATACATGCCGGTCTGGCAACCCACACCCGAATCGTACCATGGGTACCTAGAAGGGTCACACGTGCACTCGCAGCAATCTCCACCATCATAAGCTGGGGAGCAGGGACGGAACAACAATATTGTTTTAGGGATCATGGTCGAAGTTTACCCCCAAGCTTTCGGACAACTTGCCAGGGTCGACTGATTGAGGGTATTTTTTCAGGACACAGTGAGGCCAGAAAACGCGTATTTCAACGGGTGCGTATGTACCTTTGTCACCCCGTTCGCTTGATGAGAACGGGGAGAAGCGCACACTGTAGACGTTTTCTTGGCAGATGGACAAAGAACCTTCATGTAGGTATCGACAACAGTCACAAACTGCTGAGCTCCAGGAGAGATCGGAATGGCTTTACACTACCAACGTGGGAGAACAGAGGCTGGGGCTCATGGGAGAGTAAAGACACGAGCCTACGCCTCTCATGGATCGTACCACCTCATTTCATTAGGTGGACACCCCAGCACGTGCCGTGTAGCGACAGCATGACGCCCATCGTGGGTAACACAGGTCACCCGAAAGTATGTGGGGGTTGGGCAAACGGTCAATCGCAACTACTTGACATAGACTTACCGCAGTCTTCATTGTTTAGTAGGCTGTCACAGGCGCCGTTTCCAATGCGCGACGGGTCGTAGCAGTTCTCCATCATGTCAACCGTGACAGCGTCGTCGTCCACGCACGTGGCGTCGGGGTCAATGCAGGCGTAACCATAGTACTGGCCGCAGGTATATTCTCCGTCCTCGCAGGTGCACTCGCAGCAATCGCCGCCATCGAAGCCTTGGGGACGGCGAGTGAGGGACAAAGTCAAAGGTATACCTTTTACAAGGCTCCCCGGAGGTAGGTGCGCTTGCCTCCCGGGGGCGACGCAAGAGCACATCGTCACTGCTTCTATTGGTTGCATCGTTGTATATCTCAACCTTCGGGAGTGCCGCGGTTGGTCTCGGTACAAACTGCAGAGATACCTCAGATCAACTTGCGCAATCTCCCGCACTACAGACAGTTTTGCTAAGTATGGCTTATTACAATATTAACGCAACGGAAAATTCACGCATTTTTTCACGGAACGGTAAAAGAAAACCTGATTATTTTTCGCTTGTTCTATTATTCGTGATTTCATCGCAAAAAGTACGTTTTCTTCCCTGAATACACGTTTTGCTCGGCACACAACAGGTGGACTTGGTTTTGCTCACCATAGAGCAGCGGAAAAGCGCAATGATAAGCACCCGACACAAAGGACAGCACACTTAAAAAGATCCCGTCCACCCGGCATTCTACTATTTTCAGTTTTCAGCAACAACAGGCGCAAGGCAGAGTGTCGCAACCTGGGTGTTGCTTCCGATTTCTTCAGTTTGCCGGCTCATTTTTCACGGTTGCGACTCCCTTCTTTGACCACCACGTGCCCAAAGATATACGAGCCCAACAATCATAGGGCGGCAGCGGGGCTGACGGCCAGCATCATATAGATGGCCAATCCGAAAGAGCTAGCGTGTCGGAGGCCCTGTTGCTCTACTGCTGCGTGGTGCCGTGGATTGATGATGTTGCTGTGTCCGACAAAAAAAAAACCGATCATCTCGCCGCGTTTTTTCCAACGGCATTTTGGTGAGGTGGCACACGTCTCTCACACACCTTTTTGAACAGCATCAAAGCCCCCAATACCCACGAAGCAGCACGGTGCGGGAGTGAGTATCATATAGACAGCCGAACCGAAGGAATCAGCGCGTTGGAGGTCTTGGTGGTGCTGCTGTACTCGTTCTACTGTTTCCGTGTTTGCTATGTGTGATTGAAAAAAATTCTCCGGCACCAACAACAGCAGCAGTTGAAGACGAGAACACCACGCAATGTCTCGTTTTGGACCAAGAACGGACTGAACGCGGCTTCTGCCGCTTGTCCGTCTCCACAACAGACCTGGACGTGAGTCTAGCAGGTCTTGCGAGCGTTCTCAGTGATGTTACAGCGCTGGCGGTGCGCCTGCCCGACCCTGCCCGACCCTTGTGTCAAATTCCCCGGATCCGTGAAAGCAGCAAGCCCCCCCCAAAAAAATGCTCGGGGAAAAAACGCCTCCATATATTTGCAAGAAAGCACGCTTCCGTGAAATTTTCCGTGTTTTTTTTTGTCGTTAATAATAGGCCTAAACCGCCCATGGACTGCCCATGAAGTGCCCATGAAGTTCCCACCGTGGGCACTTTAACGTACAACTTCGCCACCAGCATATCAACCTAGAACTTAACCACCTGCATATCAACCTAGTAGGCTATGGAACTTGGCCGCCAGCGCCAACCTAGCACATATCGTGTGGGTTCGGGGTTGGGGTTAGGGGTAGCGTTAGGGTCATTGGCCGCAACAATGCCCGTTTCAAAGCAGATAGTCTATTGGTTAGGAGTACACTGGTTCCGGTTGAAGGGCTCTCATTGGCCGTCCGCCCACGGGTCAACCATGAGCAACAAAGTGCTCATGGGCGTTTTAGCAAAACTGTAGAGAATGTGGGAGACCCAACTTGAGCGGAAACTTTGGACTCCTATTTTTTCATTGCCCTCTTACAGTTGTAGCACCCGGTGATTTCAAAGAACGAATCCCAACCAAACAACAGAATCGATCTTGAAACGGTTTGTTTGTTGCACGGAATATGTCCATTTCCTCGAAAAAAATGGACATATTCCGCACTGTGTAATTGACTGCACATGTTTCTCGGGCAAATAAGCTATGTACAAAACATTTTCTCGGCAGGGTACAGCATGTGTGAGGGATCGCACACAAGAAACATGTACGCGCTGCGTCAGAACTCTCATGCATGAATCAACAGCGCCTACCCGTTTCCTTCTCGTCTCTCAGACTCACACACAACCAATGCAGAAGCAAGCAGGCTAGACTAATACTGTATCTACAGCTGCTACATATTTTATCCGTGGCTGCTGCTGTCGTATTCTGCTGTGTATGATAGCAGCAGCAACAACACACCGTACGTAAACAGCACACCTTCTGTGCTGTTGAATTCTTCAGCAATAACAAGTTTGCTGCTCGGCGGGGCTTTCTGCGATGCATTTATTATTGACGTCTGTTTCGCGTTTCGCATCTCTCGGGGGTATGTACATAATGTGTACGTCTTTTTCGCATCTTCTCGGGGTATCTTGCTGAATGATAATATTTTCAACATAATACGTTGTAATACTTGAGAGAAGCGGCGATCAGGCACAGCTTCAGCAGCATGCACAATGCACCACAAAAAAACTCTGTTGCTGTGATGCATGCTGACCTTCCCTGCTTCGTATTGTATTGCGCATGGAATCTATTCCCAATCGATTCATGACTCGTTCGGGGTAAAGGGATGTCTACGATGATGCCGCAAGATATGGTCAGTCCTTGGCAACAGCAACATTCCCAGCAGCCTTACGCGCTACACCATTAGTGTGGTGTATGGCAGCCGGCGTGTGCATATATATGCTCGCTCTATCGGTGGAGGTGATTATGCCCCACCGACCGCACGATGCCTTTTTTTGGCGCCTGCTGCTTGTGGCGAAGAACCGTGCGGTATGAGAGGCCTGAGTCGCCACTCCATCCTGTGTATTCATCACAAGTGTCAAGACGTACCGCATTCTTCGATGTTGTTGCCCATGTTACAGCGCCCGTTTCCGATGTCTTGCGCCGCATCGCAGGCGTCAAACTGGTCGCTGGTGGTTGCGACAACACTACTAGCAGACGACCACATGATGACCGCAGCACCGAGGAGACCCAGCCAGCGGTTCGAAGAAGTCTTCATCATCATGATCACACGCCGGGCGTGCTGTAATTGGTCGTAGCGTACGCGCTCGCTCGTGGTGGTCTGAGGAAGCAAATACGCGGGCGTAGCGCGGCGGGACTTTGTGGTGAATATGTACCGGTCTATGTAAATTACCCCGAACCTGTGAATGGCATAATCAGCGGAACAAGATGGACCGCATGTACAGCAATGCGGTACGCTAGCACCGTTTCTCAGATGGCCTTGCCGCCGAGAACCGGGCGGCTGCTGCGGAACAGCGATAGGGCACTGAAGAGGAATCCACCACCCCACCAACGACTGGCACATCCCATCAACGACTGGCAAAATATTAAGGAAAAATAAATATGTACTTCGTAGTTGATTCAGGAGTGCGGAGTATGAGTGAGTGTGATGAAGTGAAGAGCTTTGAATAACATACGAAGAGAACTTGGCGCATGTTGCTGTATAAACATGGAACTGCCGTAAACGGAAACAAATGGACCGCATGCGAAGAACATCCCGTTCGACTGTGGGTATATCTCGAATGGGTAGTCTTTCTGTGTGTGTTTTTACTATTCCTTAATTTGCCCGTTGCCGCGTGTGTACAAGGTGTTAACAGCAGTATTGTAGTGGAGAGCAGAGCCGTGTGCTTTCACCAACCTTTTAAACATCGCACAGCACCGCACATAGACTACTGTTACGAGGTAATGAATCTTCACCAACGGCTCAATACCCCTCCCTATCCCTACCTAGGTTATTATGGTATTTGGACCCTTGGATCCAACCTGCACACAGTGGTCGGACTTCACACTGAACCCGTGTCGGAGATCGTCACATCTCGTCACACCTACATACAGTATCTTGCATTGTTCGCAACAATTAATTGTCTTCGTTGATGTTGATGACACCCTTAGCACAACAAGTAGTACAGGCGGGGCGGATACACAACGGAATCGCTTCCTGCGTCAGAGGCTATTTTTGCACAGATAGATCGTTGTTTGCGTTACGATTTACTGTCTATTGCAATAGATACAATGTACATGGGCGAAACGCCGAAACGCATAGATAGTCTACAGTAGTCTAGTGGTAGCTTGTTTTTTTTTACACCCGCCGTTGTCGACAAAATTACTCTCTAACTAGACTACTGCCCTACCTAGACTAGTGAATATGCTCATCCACGAGCGCTTCCATTCCACGTCACACCATACAAACTTCGCCGAGCACAGAGTTGCCGGCCTCGAACATACATGTACCTCTCCGGCGTCCGGCGCAACTTGCGTAACACTGCGTGACTTTGCTCGACCCCACAGTTCACGCTTAACCCGACGGTAGACAGCACGTATTGTTATCGGAGAGTGTCGCTGCTGGTGCCACGTGCTACTTGTACGTACTGCTGTGGTCAATCTCGTAATATCTCACATGGCTGGTGTGCGTCGAGGCTGTTGGTGGAGGATAGCTGGTGGTGATGTTCGCGCTGTGTGTTGTGTTGTGGTCTGGTGTGGTGTGGGCGGTCGTGTGCAGCATCGAAGGCGCGTACGATGCCATATCATCTGGTATCGACTTGAGAAATTCCAGCGAATTTTCCAATGACAGTCAGTGTGCCCAGATTGAACGATCGCGGGTGTTTCGTGGACGCGCGAGTGTCCAAGAACACTACGGCCGTTGGACGATGATGAGTGAGCGGCCACAATCCGCGAGCGGTCGGTCGTGGTCGTTGATGAGCCATTTCATGGACGCCCGTGATACCTGTTTCATGAAACATCATGAACGCGTTGGTGAGGACTCTTCGGGACGGGCAAGGGTCGGATGATAAAATATGGCAAAACATGATACTCCGATGCATACACGCAAGGGGGTGCTCATAAGAGATGCACCCACCAGACTTCTATGTGCGGACAAGAGACTGACAGCAATCCAGCATAGAATCGAACCCTAACCCTAACCCTAGCCCAAACGTCCGAGCGGAGAAGGACTGTTACCTTCGGGCTGTGTTGTTTGTGTTTTCATCCTATTATTAGAGGGATTCCACATGGCGTTCGAATTTCGACATGAAGCGTATTATGACGTGAAATATTGACGTCTCGTGGAATTTCGGCATGAACGTAATTCCGCCGCCTTTTTGAAGTCGATCTTTGGTGGTGTTTTTTTTTCAGAATCGCGTCAAAACACGAAAGCGCGCGAAAGGATTGACGCTTCCCCCCTCATGTCGGGACACAGACACATTCCTCTACTAGCATCGCCGAACAGCAGCGTCATAAGCAGCGAACGCATCCACCTCGGCTACTGAGTTCTCCTACGTGGTCCTGTACGCGGCTTGGCGACATCTCCGCGACCTCGCGGCGGCCCGTTGACCGCCGTAGCCCGTTCGAAAGTTGACCACCGGTTGGTTGGGGAATTCTCTGGGCACCCCGCCCTCCAAGGGAGGACAGCAGTAGAGGCGTTAGGGAGGGCACACGTACTTGGCCGGCCACCGTAGGTGCATCTCGCCCACCCCGGGCTTGGGGTTGGCGCTGGGTCGTACCACACCGGGCAGTGGAAATGTCTTATGCGGAAGAAGAGGGCAGCGCTGCTGCTGCTGCGATTAGAGGCGCCCGCTACATGTCGCCTCAGCGCCACACGAGGGCACCCTGGCGGGACGAAGACGAGGGATACGCCCCGTCTCCTGGGAGAGGGCGCTACAGCCTGTCGACCCTCGCTGGGAGCCCGGACGCGCCGGTCGTCGACCTAGCTGGCCTTGACACCACCCTTCGGAACGACGACAGCGTAGTGTTGAGTCCACAAGGCGACGGTGATGACCAGGGATCTGGCGACACCGCCTCGGGGCAAAAAGCAGGTGAGCTTGACGGAACGACTAAAGTATTGGTAGTGTTTATGTTGGGCTGAAGGCGCAGCACGCCCCGGTTGGGCGGTGAACAGGCCAACAACCTGAGCAGACGGCGCGTGTGGCAGTTATTTTTGTACAAGTTTTCTAGCAGCAGTGTACAGCAGTGACGGGCGAATTTCCCGAAAGCGTGACCACGTGGTTGCTTGTGGCGGTGAGTCCTGCAGGTGTGGCGGTCGCCTTGCTAGACTACTGCTGATTCCATGCTATAGGTTGGAGTCTACATGCGCGTACATTCGTTGCCCTGTTCCTGTCCTGTTGCAAGATGTAGCTCGGGCACCGTCCTCGTGGGAGGACCGTGTTCTTGTAAATAAAGAACACGCCTGCTGTTGATTGCATGGCCTTCAACGTAAAAAAAGTGCAAAAGGGGTGTATGTAATTATCTGACACGCCAGATACCTTGCCTTTTCCTCTCTGTTCATTGTGTGTGTTTATGTTGGCGTATTGCTTAGGTGCTACGGGCAACCAGACGGCTGTGAGGCCCATGTGTAGGATTGGAGAGAAGCAGTTACTGATGCAACTCGTTCAGGAGTACACACCGGAGGGGACTCGGGAGACCAAGGCCAGGGCTCGTGTCTGGTTGGATATCGCGAAGCGGATGCTGATCCCAACAGAGGTCACGGTCACGGAGGACGCCGAAGATACCGTGGTTACGGTCGACTACCAGCGTGGACGGGTGAGTTCAGTTCGGGAGGCGTCTTCCACTAAAGGACACGAGCATCATTCTTTCCTGCACTCCCTGCCTAATCTCCGCTCTTGGTTGGGCACCTCGATTTTCCCTCTTTCTACAATATTTGTATTTTGTTGGCCTGCCTTCTCATCTGCCTCGTTGTTCTGTTTTCTCCATTACTCCCATGCTCTGGTGTGTAGTACTTGGTGCGGTACGTTGTCCTTTGATATATTTTGTTGGGACTAGTTTATTTTGTTTTCGCCCCCCCCCCGTCCTGCTGGTTTTTATTTTGTGCGGTAACCACAATGGTGGTCGAGTAGATCATGTTGTGCGGGGTGGATAAACCTCACTCCGCACATGGGGGATGATCGCAACACGTTGTGTTAAAATGGTCAAGCATCCTCGAGGCAGTTACACAGTGCCTACAACTGTCTCTGGAAGTGAAAGCACCAGAAAATAAATTAAGCAATACGTAGCTGTCATCCGTACGCAAGGAAGTAAGCACAAGATGCCGAACACCCTTAGCAGGATGCAGCTCACCCTTCATGCGACTCGCCAAATACCTCACGGCGCTTCGCGCTTGGTGATGTGAGAGCCTGGTCCGGTGAGAACCCGGCGTGCTCTGTCCCGGCTTTGTAGGGATGCGAGGTCAATGGTCTAACGACGACGGCATGCACGACTATGAGTACACCCCCCCCACCCACCCCCGTCCTGCTGCACTCCCTGAGAGTGCGGTGCACCTGGGAGTGCCTGGTCGGCGGGAATCCGGCACGGAACCCTCCGGCGTTGTAGGCGGGTGTGGGAAGCGTTGTTCTTTTACTTTATTTTTGATCGGTCCTCTCGAGGCTCTTTCTCGCTCTTGATACGGTACTGCTGCTGCTGTAGCTGGTCTTTCTTTTTCTTATTTTTATTTCGTTGGGTCGTGGGTGCCGGGTTTTTCTGAGACCACGGGCTCCCCATTTTTTGGGGGCTGACGACAAAGTGAGAAACACAACAACAACAACAATTCGAACCAGAACAACAACAAAACGAAGCACCACTGCTTCATGACACATGCCCACCCGTTCCGTTTCAGCAAGTTTCACACATCAACTCTAGAGCTTCCTTTCTACACAGCTCACCCCAACTGTTTTCGTTTTAGTGACAATGGACAGCGCATGAAAGAAGACGTAAGGAGCTAAAACCTAAGGAAGGAAGTGCAGCGATTCGAGTCGCGAAACTGTTGTACGTTACCATATGTTCGTCGTGCATCCACCCGCGTTGAACGAGATAGGGGATGACGTGTCGTTCCTGGATGCTAGTGTGTCGTGTCCCAGCGCTCATTAGCGTCCGGACGCGGTCGCGCAATGTTGTTCCTGCCTAGGCATGGGTTTCGGTTAGGCTCTGGCTCTCCCGCCAAAGGTTGATGGTTGCAACAGCAGTAGGGTTAGCCGACGTACTGCTGTACTGCTTCCGTTGCCCACGAGCTCTCCTCCTCACTTCGTGCCTAGTGCTGTGTGCCCGAGACACATATTTTATTTAGTTTGCATGTGCGTGCCTCTAGGATTGTGTCACCAATGCCTGTACTTATCCCTCCGGCCCCCACTCGCTCCATCTCTCCCTCCCTCGTCGGAACAGGATACCGTTGCCATGGACAAGCTCGTGGACACCTGTCAGCGCCTCGTACGCGACGCGAAGAAGAAGATCGAGAAAGAGCAACGGGATGCACCCAAGAAAACGGGAGAAGGGACAGTGGACCCCGAGGAGCCCAGCGAGGAGGCGATGAAGAGCTCGTTGGTGAGTTGGCGTGTAGGATTGGGGTACGAACAGTGGGCCTGTGTTTCCGGCCTTGCTTGTTGTTTTCGGTGGTGTGTCTCTCCCCCCTCGTAGGATCTTGACCCTACACCCTTGTCCTTTGATCCCGCCCCAACGTCGTCTGCAGTCGTTACTCGGTTTGTTTTGGATAAAGTAACGTGTTGTTCTCCCCGCGTACCGTACTCTGTGTGTACCGTGTGTGTACCGTACTCTGTGTGTGTTAGATCGTGTTTTTCTGCCGTTAATCCACGTTGTCATTCTAGTATCTGTTGTGGCTTGCAAATATTTGTTATTGTTAGGAATAGAATCCAAATGTTTGGATGGTGTTACGCGATCGCGACACTGTGTGTGTAGTTGTTCGATATGTATTGGATTACTACGTTGGCGTGTTGTTTTTTTGTTGTCTTGGCGGTAATGCCCCAGGGCTAGGCTATACTGGACGAGTTAAGATGCCCAGGGCAAGAGGGGTAAGTACGGGACTGACATAGGCTGTTCTCTTGCGCCAGTTGCTGCTCTTGGTCCGCAAGGTTTAGCTCGACATTCAAAGTAAAAAAAATAGCTGAAAGTGGATATCGTAAAATGCATGAGTGCGTGGAAACCGCCAGCCGTCGCGATGGACAGCGCTCTAACCTTGCCCGCACGCTCCTAACCCCTTGCAAACGCACCACCAGGAACACCACACAGCTCTCGCTGTGCAGTACGACCTGTACGCTAAGGAGCAGAGCATGAGCAAGGGCAAGGTGGCGAAAGAGCACGCTGAGTGGGCCGGGTCGACGCGCAACAGCAACACCGACGATATTTTCTCCCTGAGAGGTGGCCGTGGCGGCGGTGGCCGTGGCGGCGGTGGCCGTCGCGGCGGTGGCCGTGCCGCTGGTGGTCGTGGCGCCGGTGCGCGTGGCGCTGGTGCACGTGGCGCTGGTGCACGTGGCGCTGGTGCACGTGGCGCCGGTGCACGTGGCGCCGGTGCCCGTGGCGCCGGTGGCGCCAGCGCCGGTGCACGTGGCGCCGGTGCCCGTGGCGCCGGTGCCCGTGGCGCCGGTGCCCGTGGCGCCGGTGGCGCCAGCGCCGGGGGCCGTGGCGCCGGTGCCCGTGGCGCCGGTGGCGCCAGCGGGGGTGGACGTGGTGGTATGAGCAGCACGGGCGGTAGGCCGGGTGGGAGGGGTTACAGGGGGGCGTCGAATCACCGGCGCCCCGGCGGTGAAGAGGACTGGGAGACAGCCGAATTCTTCGCGCCCCGCCGAGGCGCGTTGGAGGCAGCTGCTGCTGGAGAGCTGACGGTCGATCTCCTGCCAGAGGAAGGCGACTGGGAGGAAGAGGTAGACCTTGCAGCCGCAGATGACCAGGAAGCGCAGATGTTGTCCGGGGGCAAGCTAGGGCGCCAGTACCGGGATGGCGCCAACGGGTCGGCAAGGAAGCAGGTGTTCCGGGGCAATCCGGAAGCAGCGAACGCTTCCGTCGGCGAGCAGATAGCCGCTGGTTTTGACTTCCTGTTCAGGCGCGACGAACGGGAGGAACAGCGGCTACGGGAAGAACGGGAGGAGCGGGCAGCCCGGCTGGCAGCTGGGGGCGCAGGGGGAGACGCTGCATCCGCGCGCTTGGACCGTATGGAGGCCAAGGTTGAGGACCAAAACGGGAAGCTCGACAAGCTCCTCGAACTGGTCGGGCGCAGCAATGGAATGCAGCAACCCGCACCTCAGTTCGGTGTGGCTGGGTTCCATTCGGCGATGTACCCAGGCCCTGTAGGACCCTGGCCACCCCAGTCTAGCGGCACGGGACTCGACGGTGGAGGGGGGTCGAGCGGGTGGATACACGGTGCAGCGGGCGCGCCGCGAACGGCTCCACCACCTTCAACCACCGCTGGGGGCCAAGCCGAACTTCCTGGCTTCCTCTCTGCGGAGAGGGGAGCAGACAATCGGCCTGCGGAGAGGGGAGCAGGCAATCGGCCTGCGGAGAGGGGAGCAGGCAATCGGCCTGCGGAGAGAGGAGGCGCCTCTGCCGGATCCGTTGGAGACGGCGGGGCCCGGGCATCGGGGCAAGGGGCGATGGCACCGACGCAGTCATCGGCGATTAGGGTTAACCAGACCCTTCAAGGTCGGAAAAGGGTGGGCGGGGCTAGCGGAGCCCAAACAAGCACTGGAGGGGTTGCTGGGTTTGGCAGGACAGCTGCCAAGCGTTCCAGGGGAGGCAGCAGCCGGGATGCTGGAACATAATATTGTGAACTCGGAGTGTGACCTGCGGGCCTTTCGTGTCTGGCGTTTGGTTGTGTTTGTCTTCGCTTTCGTAGGTTCAAATCAAGCTGTAACTTTAGGTTTTTCGTCCAGTTTGCGAACCACGTTAGTGTTTATTATTTCTATTCTCTATGACGGTGGTCCACCGCAATGCACAAGTACACAAGACGGTGTGGGCGTGGGACTGTTGTCATTGTTACGTTTTTCCGTGCTGTCTTTCTTTTCTTTTTTTTTGCAGTAGAACCCTTTCCCCTTTTATGTTATACCTTGTTTTCGGCCTGATGTGTGTCCGCGTGTAGGGGTAGGAACCCCCCCCCCCCCACACACAAGTCGTTTATTGTTTATCCCATTTAGCCAGTCGTCATGGTCAAATAGATAGGTGTGTCCCCCCCCACGTTGTGGTGGACACGTAAGCTGGAAATTTCGATTCTTTCGTGTTTGTACCTTGTAGGTGTATAATATGCGTGCTTGGTCGATTATTTCGTCGTGCCTATCTTTAGATTGTGCCTTGCCTTCCGACAGCAATCGGGAGTGAGCGCCAGGCGCGAAAGCGGCACGCATCTCCGTGTGAAGGTTTTTGCTCGTTCCTGCTCACCCTAGGGAGTACTTTTTTTTTGTAGTTCCTACCAAAGTCGACTACTCTCGATACCAAGGGCAGAACTACCCTTTATTCTGCAATCAAGATCTGCGTGTTGCTTGAATTGTTTTGATTTGTTTTTGGTTTACACTGAAGTACGAAGTACATTTTTGCGTCCACGGAGTCTCATGTGCGATTTTTGCTTCCACGTAAATTGTCGCAAGGGCACGTCTGATGTTGGACCTACGTGTGTAGAACCGTGAGGATGAACTCACGTTGTGATTTTTTGGCATCTCATCCATATTGTCTTGTGTGTAGCCGAGGGTTTCGTTGCGGTAGATTTGGTTCGCTTAGCATTGGTCTAGGGTTGGTGTCCTGTGTAGTAGGGTTAAGCCTCTGCTGGGCGCTACTGCCGCAGTAGTTTGTCCTGTGGTGGATGTATCCACATGGCCTCCGGAGATATGTCTCGGCGGTAGCAGGCCCTTCTTCTGCGAAGAAGCACCTACGACCTTCGACGCTTGGGCGTCGCGTGTTATCCCCCAACTGTCGCTGAGTCTGCAGAGGTTGGATGTGTGGTTGCCGTGTGGTGACCGGTGTCAAGATCACTTATGTTTTAACATGCCACTGCCTGCGTCTGCTCGACAGACGATGTTTTGGAAGCGTGCTGGAGTCTAGGCCCTCTGGTGACCTGAACTTTCCACACTTACCATTCCAACTGGGCACACGCACTCGTGCTCCAAGTACAATGGGATTCGTATTCATGGGTTGCGAGATAAATCATGTGGTTCGTATTGCCGTCGGCATACTTAGGAAATTGGAACTTGGTTTTCTGCTTGTTGACACCATCACTAAGAGCAACCCCGCACTCCCGGCCCACGGCCAACTACGACACGTAGCGAAAAAGAAGGGAGGATAAGCCTAGCCTTACGCTACTGGACCATCCATCCCTTGCTGCGCCAGAGCTAACAGTGTCAAAATTCCTCTTCTTGATCATGTTGATTGGCCCCAAGCCGAGTGCTGCTGGATGAGCACGGCTGTCCCGTTTGACAATGTGAAGAGATGGTAAAGTCGTTTTATTGGTCGTCCTCGTAGACACAAGCAACGGAAGAGAGTGGGCACTCAGGTGCATCACAAACACCGAGGCACGCGAGCAACAGTCGCAAGACGCATTCGGAACTCGGAATACATGACAGCAAGGAATGCGCGACAACTTGCCAAAGATCCTACTACCGGAGATACCCCGAAGATCCAAATGACCGATGGACGGTCACGCACTTGCGCACCTGCATAGCTCAAAACCACACATGAGTACTACCGCAGTAGCCTTCGTAAGGATGGCATAATCCACCTCACGAACACCCTCCCTGATTCTGTACATCATAACGAATGCTCTCAAAACCAAAGCGCTCAGGGTACTCATAGAAAACTCCAAAAGGAAACAAAAATAAAACAAACGAAGGGAAACCCGGCCACCGGATCAAAACCCTCCGCCCCCACGGGTCATCCTGCTGATTGAACTGTCAACACAATCAACACAGCAGTCACAAAGTTGCAAACCTACACGTCTACAACTGTCAGGCATTTGTACTACCCCTTTTCAAGTAGTCCCCTCCCAGCCAACAGGATCCCTACTGTATCGAGTTGCTGTCAGCACCGCGGCGCGCCTAAGGCCACAAGCACCAATGCCAAATTGCAGCGGAAAAACGTAAAACCTAACGCTACATCGCTAAATGACATTTTTATAGAGGGCGATCAACCAAGAGGAAGATCAAGCAGTATCTCAACCACAACGGTACCCCGCTTCGAGAGACACTGGACCTAGACATTTTTCGCTACTCCTTCACAAGTAACTCCCTCCCAGCAACAGGATCCCTACTGCTGTATCCAGCTGCTGTTAGCAACGGGGCGCGTCTACAACCAACCCCGATCACCATTGTCTATCACATGACAGTGAGAGGTGCCCCCCTCGGTCTGTACATCAATGAAAGATCATAAAAAAAGGGCAATCAACCACATGTTAGGGGAGGGTGCCCCCTCTCAGCCTACACATCAGAGGACGATCGAAGCAGCATATCAATCATAAACAGTTCATCAACCAGCCTGCTGGTACCTGCTAATATGAGAGACGCTGGTAGCCATCTATCACGAAAAAAGGCGTCATTCATCAGCCCTCCCTGATTTCAGGCAAAATATCCCGGTGAAACTGTAGACACCAGGAAATAATTCCGAACATCATCAATCAAATTGGTGTGACCGCAGTGCCCTGCGGATCACCATTCCTCAAAGTGAGACGACAACGGAATGCCACACCATCCTCAGTATTTCATCGTGCAATAAGCCTCATCATGGCTCAACCTACGCGGTTAGTTACTGAGATGCGCATGGTATACCGGACAGGCAACATCGAGTTTCGTGGACTGCGTTCGTATCCCGATCGAACACACAAGAAAAAAACAACGAGCGAACGGCGGAAAAGTAACAGGCCAGAAAAAATTCCCCTTTGTACTTTCGTCAGTCGTATCATCAAAATCGGCTCTTTATGGGGGAATGCCGACGAGCCGAATTGCACGCAAGGCACGAAAGCG